TGTTTGATTTTTCTAAAATGCATCTCGAATGAGTGACTAAACATTTCTCTCACTGAAACCAGATGAACAGAGTCTGCTTTCTGGAAGAAAAAAAACATAGTCTGTTTTGTACATTTTTGTAATGTTATAGAGAGGAGTCTAAGCAGTTAGCATGGATACTGTTACCCATCATTTTCAATGCTTTACATTGAAATGAAATTAACATTTGCATATTTGACTTGCCAGTGACACAGTGTTTGCTGGTTGGATCCTGCTGATTGTCAGGATTTTTGCTTGCATCATACATTATTATTGCTCAGAGAAAAAAATCTTCAGTTACAGGTTATTGGGTTCTTTGCCCTCTTGTTAGTTGTTGGTCACATAACAGCAGCTTACTGGCATTTAACAGTGTTTTGCTTGTGGATGAAATTGACCAGAAGGCACCATCAAAGTCAGTGAACAATTATGAAATGTTTTTTTTTTTCCTTCATTGTGGTTAACAATGAATCGCAATCTGTCTCTGTCAGTTCTCTCTCTCTGTTATTGACAAACCCAGTGACTGTAATCTATTCTGACCTACCTAATGTTCTCTATACAGGCTGACATGCTGAGGTCACAAAGCAACACCAAGCCTACGGTGAACGAGCAGGACTTGGAGAAGCTGAAGAAGTTTACTGAAGATTTTGGTCAAGAAGGCTAATAATATCTTTGTACTCAAAAATAGGACTGCACTTAACAACTATCTTTACTCTCAGTTATGCTTCAGATCATTTGATTCGCCTTTTCAACTGCTGTGTCAAAAATGGTGGAAAATGTCACAGGTTTAATGGACCAGAGGTTGCAGCAAATCAGTCTTACAGCTGACAAAAAAACATTTATCCTTTTGTCACAATCATAGATCTTTTTTTTTTTTTTAAATCAACCAACCAGTTGAGGAATCGTCTCTTTCAGCCACGTTAACCTATCGATCCACCGAGGCTTGTGTTTACGTTATTTTTTTAAGGGTTTTTCTTATTATATTTCAAACTGAAGCGTTTTGTTTTTTTTCTGAAACCGCATCACTGTTAGAAAAGTATGTGCAAAGGCTACAGTGGGTAGATCCTGGCATCTTTCCATCACTACATACTTTATGTAGTCTAAGGCAGATTTTAATACTTTGATTAACAGAACTGGTGTTGTGGTTGACATTTAACAGGAATTTATGCAATGAAGTCTGTGAACACTGGCAATCTTTTTTTCACTACATACAAATCATTAATGGCATCCAAAAGGATCTTCTGGGATTTAAACTGATGTAGAGAAAATGAAAGAATTTCTTAATTCTGATATGCCGTTGCACATTTTCTTTCAGCCTTCTCCTGTTAGATTACTGACACTTTACTGTGTTCTAGTTATGTTCTGACTTATTTATAAATGATTATGCTCTAGCTGTGTTGCCTTTGGGTTTTAAAT